CGGCCGCCCCGGCGAGAGCAGCATCTCCCGAGGCGCGGCGGGCTCGCGCACGGGGCGGCTTGAGGAAAGGCGGGGGCAGGCAGCGGCGGCTCCCGCCTCAGCCTTCCCCACCAGAGGGTGTCTGCTGGTGGGAAGGGGGAAGCCGCGCTCTCCTGGACTTTTGTGGGAGTGGGGGTTGCGTTGTGTGTGTGTGTGTGTGTTTTTTTTTTAAGGGGGGTGGGGTGGGTTAGAAGAGAGTCTGTGGTTTCCATGGAGATGAAGCTGAAAGTGCAGGAAATTTAAAGGCTTTGGGTCCTTGCAAAGCAGACAAACTGGTGCCAACGTGCGTGGCTGCTGTTGCTGCTGAGGAGGCTGCTTTGCAAACGGCGGAGAGGAACGGGGAGGAAGAATCGGCAGCAACTTCTTCCACACGCACGGGCAGACGACGAGGAGCGGCGGCGGCAAGCCGAATTTGCAACAAAAAGAGGCATCTCCCTTTCCCGGGGAGGGTGAAGAGAAGCAGCAGCAGCAGCAGCAGCAGAATTTTGGAGCCGCTCCACCAGGAGAAATTTTATAGAGAAGCCTGCAAGAGAGAGTGTTTGCAGGGGGCTTGTTCTCCGGGCTTATTAGGGGGCCGTCTTTGCTGGTGGTGCGGGGAGCGGAGGTGATCCCCCTTAAAGACAAGCTATTTTGGATATCCCCGTACAAGTTTTCTGATGTATTTGCTTGCACCTTCTTCCCCTGCTGTTTGGTGAACCCAGCCCCCCTCTCCCCCCCCCACCGGTCTCCCAAGGATGGATCATTCCCAGTGCCTTGTGACTATATACGCCTTGGTGGTTCTGCTGGGTCTCCGGCTAGAGCAGGGCGCCTGCCAGCACTATCTGCACATCCGACCGGCTCCCAGCGACAACTTGCCCTTGGTGGATCTAATCGAGCACCCGGACCCTATCTTTGACCCCAAGGAGAAGGATCTTAACGAGACCTTGCTAAGGAACCTCATGGGCGGACACTTCGACCCTAACTTTATGGCTATTTCCTTGCCCGAGGACCGGCTCGGAGTGGACGATCTAGCTGAGCTGGACTTGCTGCTCAGGCAGAGACCCTCGGGAGCGATGCCCAGCGAAATCAAAGGGCTGGAGTTTTACGACGGGCTGCAGCCGGGCAAGAAGCACAGGCTGAGCAAGAAGCTGCGCAGGAAGCTGCAGATGTGGCTCTGGTCCCAGACCTTCTGCCCGGTCCTATACACGTGGAACGATCTCGGCAGCCGCTTTTGGCCCCGGTACGTCAAAGTGGGCAGCTGCTACAGTAAAAGGTCTTGTTCGGTCCCAGAAGGCATGGTTTGCAAACCTGCCAAGTCCGTGCATTTAACGATCCTGAGGTGGAGGTGCCAGCGTCGGGGAGGGCAGAGGTGCACATGGATACCCATCCAGTACCCCATCATTTCGGAGTGCAAGTGCTCCTGCTAGGGCTTGCACTTACCTTTTCTCGCCCCCTTCTCCAGCGGACTCACGTGGACCTTTGCTGCAACAAAAATAAAAGACATTTGCTTTCTGGTTAACGTTGTAATGCACTGTAACGTGTAGGAGAATGTATATTGTGTGTATATATGGCACCGTTTTAATATACTATTAAAAGGTCAGTATTATACGTGAAATAATCAGCGTCTACTGTATTTTTAAGACTATTACCCTGATCGTTGCTAATGTATCTTTTTTTTTTTTTTTTGGTATTTATATTCCAGAGAGAAGTTGCTTCGCTTTGGCGAAGTAGGGGTTTTGTTGTTTGTTTTTTGTTTGTTGATTTTTTTTTAATAAAAGGATTAAAAAATACAAACCAAACTTTTTGATAAGAAAACGTTTTAAAGCTATTTTCCATTATTCGGAAAGCGTGTGTGTGAGTTTTTTTCTTTTTCCTTATGGACTTTAGATTTAAAATAAAAATGAATAAACGCCTAGAGCACAATGTTATTGTAAATAGAGAGAACAGTTTGAATGACTTAATCCTATGTAAATGAAGAGTATCTGCTATTTATTCTTTATATCCTTGTAGTAAAAGTGCAGTGCAGAATTAAAGTCAACCACTAAAACACGAGCCGTTTGGATTCTGTTTGCTTTTTGGTTTGGCCACCTTCGGGGGGGCTTTCTTCTCTCTCCTCCTCGTTCTCCACGCTCAGCAGGACGTTTCGTGGTGGCGCGGGGGGGTGGGAACCTGCTCACGACTCTCTTAGAAGGCAATCTTTGGCACCTACACCACAGGAGTGCCCGGGGGATCCGGCCCCGCGTGTGGGGCCGGCGAGGAGCGGCCGGGGGGGG